GTGGATCACAGCCCACTGCTCGCACACTGTCGATACTGTGGATCACAGCCCACTGCTCGCACACTGTCGATACTGTGGATCACAGCCCACTGCTCACAGTGGGTGTGAAAACTCTCCACACTGAAGAGAGGAAGAGCGAGGGTGACGGGGGTTATTCTGGGGCAACACTCGCATACAGCTGATCCCGGGAGCACCTTCGGATATGACAGTCGACAAGGGAGCAGGAAGAGGCGGTGTAAGCCGCAGACCGGGAGACGCGCGCAGGCGGAGAAGGGAAGGAGGGCAAGGACACCGCGGGGCCGCAGGAAGCTGACAAAGGATCCGAGAGACCCATCCATTATTGATGAGCTTCCTGTGGCCACACGGCTGGAGCACAATGTGATGCCAACAGGACGAGAGCACAGAGGCTCCGTGTGAACTGAGCCCAGCCCCGGGGAGGAGGGAGGGGGGTCTCCAGAGGGAGAACCGAGACGATGGCAGGAAGGAAGAGGGGATCTACTTAAACCCGAGACGCCCCGAGAGGAGGGGGGAGCGTCCGAGGTGCAGATCCGTCCTGGGCGGTTGTCTGTGGTTTTGGATTGATCTCACCGGGCTTTTCTGCTGTGTCTGCAGTCTGCGTCAAACCATTCTTCCTCTGCTTCGGGTTTCTTGACTATCTTTAGATTTTATTTTATTTTTTTATTTTGATTTCAAGACCAATTCGCCAAACGTATGACTGAAAGCCAAATGTATGCCCCTACTATCTGTTTGAAACGAAGTGTTTAGGATCAGTAATTTGATCGGTTCAGTCATGTCTGAATTGGCTGATCATTGTGTGCTCTCTGGTATTCATCTGGGCATTTTAAGCTTAACCCTTGACTCCCCTTTCCTCACAGGCTGTATGGAGACACCCAGCTGCACTCAGTGATGCCCAGAGTCTCGCCCCTGGGTGATGGAGGGATTTCTAACACGGGGCCCTATGATCTCCCTGCAGACTGGGGGACAGTGAGTAAACATTTCTCCCGGACACCATGTCTCTTGCAGTATCACCACATCTGTTCCTGTTGTACTCTTAACAAAGAGAGGCAAGCGAGGCTTTTTGAAACCCAGTGCATCGGACTCCCCAGCTGTGTGAAGCACTCAACTGATGTATGCTGTAAATATGTACTGCAGATCCTGCTCTTTTGTTCCTGACCTCTCCGTGCCCAACAGCTTTAAATTGGATGAACACTCAAGGGTTGGGGCAGACCAGGCTTTGTAGAGATGTTTAACAACCCATCTGCCACTAGAGGGCAGTAAAGGACTCTATTAGTTGTAAATAGGCACAGCGGGTGACAATTCACTTTTCACTTTCACGCGGGTGTAACTGGAGGAATGTTTGGGACATCAAGTCAGGGGCCGGGCGGGTGACAGTAGCAGGAGAAGCTGATCCGTTTGTGTTCTCTCTGTCAGGACCTGGTCTGTCACGGAGGGAGGGGGGGAGCTTATCGCCAGAGGAACAGGGCCGGACGGCAGTGTGACCACAGGATGACGCCTCTTGATCTCCACACAGCTGCAGGCAGGAAGTGGGGATCTGCAGGGATTGCAGGGTGTGCCACCATTATCTTGCCTAAACGCAGACTGCAGCAGAAATAACTTCCCAAATGAAAAGTGAACAAGTTCTACATAGAGTGCCCTTTTTCACTTTTCTCAAATTCAATGGATCATACAATTATTTCTGTCCACTTAAATGGAAAATACTCTTAACTGACTATACCTTAATTCACTGAGTATACAATTAGTCGCGTATGAGATACAAAAGTGACATTGATTAATAGTTAACAAATGACAAAGCTCTTATCTGAAATATCTTGTGGTTATGTTGCAACCATCAGCAACTTTTTTTCATGCACAGATAACACATAACTGGCAAGTTAGAAAGCATTTAGCTTGGTCTCTTGAGTAGGCTGTGAAGGAAACTGGGTTTTACAGATTGTATCCCCTAAACGTTACACTCCAGAGCCCTTTAACATCAGTTCCTTCAAGGTTTGACTCTTTCCCGGCTCAAAAGAAACGGTAATCTGCTTTCTCGATCGCAGCCCCAGGCTCTTCATCAGTCCATCAGAATGGCAAGGAGAGCAGAGCTCTCTGTCCATCACCGCTCACTGCTAGAATACATCCAGCTTCGCTCACAGTGAGAATACTCAGTCTGACCATACTGGACACACTCTCTAACCCCTCAACCTGAGCAACAGTCAGGGGGAGTGTTCCCAGTCTCTAACCCCGTAACCTGAGTCACACTGGGAATACTCCCCCTGACTATACTGGAATCACTCTCACTCTCAGGATTTCTGCCACAGTTTTCACGGCTCTGAAAATAGCTCACCTCATGTGACATGTAAACTAGAAACGTCTGGTCTACTACCGGGAGAAAAATCATTCTTAACCAACAGAGGATAATTCCTGCGTACCGTCCTAAAAAAACCTGAATCCAAGGACCTTAACTGGTCTCAGTGAAGTTCAGTCCTGTATTTAAAAGAGAGACACAGTTCCAGTAACTGTCACCTACTGTAGCTGCTGGCTGTAACTGTCACCCAATTGCAGGCTGTACAGCTCATAGAGAGCACAGACTGAACCCCACAGTCCAGAGAGAGCACAGACTGAACTCCACAGTCCAGAGAGAGCAGACTGAACCCCACAGTTCAGAGAGAGCGCAGACTGAGCCCCACAGTTCAGAGAGAGCGCAGACTGA